CTCTCGCTCTCGCTCTCGCTCTCTCTCTCTCTCGCTCTCGAGCTCTCGAGCTCTCTCTCTCGAGCTCTCTCTCGAGAACTCTCGAGAACTCTCTCTCGATCTCTCGAACTCTCGATCTCTCTCTCGAACTCTCGATCGAACTCTCGAACTCGAACTCGAACTCGAACTCGAACTCGAACTCGAACTCGATCGAACTCGAACTCGATCGAACTCTCTCGAACTCTCTCTCGAACTCTCTTGAACTCTCTCTCGAACACTCTCTCTTGAACTCTCTCGAGAAAACTTTCGAGATCTCTCGATCTCACTCTCTCGAACTCTCTCGAACTCTCTCAGTCCCTGCTACCATGAGGATCTCAACCCTGGATACATCCGCCTCCTACTACTACTGTGTGCCTATGGCCGCCTGTCTTCCACAGCACAGCGCTCAGCCACTCGCAATAGCACACAAGCACCAGCAGCGCTTCCACCTCCTTGCGAATGAGCAATCTGTTCGAGTAAGGCTGAGCCAGTCTTCTTATTGACTTGGACTGGGCCTTTGCTTCACTGGCCTCTGCTTGACTTAGTCTGGGCCTGACTTGACTGGTACCAGTCGCCCGCGGCCTGTTTGTTTTTGGAATATTGAGGCCCGGTACCTTCCAGACTTTACTTAGGGGCGTTGCTGCATTTTGGGACTGGACTGTAAGGCCAGGTACCAGTTCAATTTTGACCTGCGTGGCCTGGGGTTCCCGACTGGACACTTTTTCAGTTTCGGCCTGCTCGACCTCTTTTGACTTGGGGGACCTTGACCCTGGGACTCGAATTTGGGGTCCGCAATGTGAAAATGCCTTTCACTGCATGAATCTGACCGCAATTTCGGCCTATCCTGGATGTATAGCTACGTGCCATTACGGCCAGATATTGGGAAAAAAGGCCAATAGTGTCTACACCCAATTAGAACACCTGGTCATTATCACTGTATCTAGACTGGAAGTTGCTCCAAATAGAGCTATATTGACCAGGCGTTCGATAAGGGTGAAGATGGTAGTGCGAGTTTTCCGTAAATCGCCTTTTGCCTCAGTCAGTTTTTGGCTTTAATCAGCTTTTGCCTCAGTCTAAATTTTGCCTCAGCCAGTTACTGTTTGCCTCAGTTACCATTTACCTTAATCAGCTTTTGTCTCAGTCAATTCTTCGCCTCAGTTAGTTACCGTTTGCCTCAGTTACAGCTTACCTCAGTTACTGTTTGCCTTAGCATTTGCCTCAGCCACCTTTTGCCTCAGTTACCTCTCCTTGGGTCTTTTGCTTATTGGGTCTCAAGCCTCATTTGAACTTTCTTGGGCCTCAGTTAGTTGGTGGCGGCCATTGTCGGATCGTCCTTGATATGTGTTTGCAACTTTGCATTGCAAAATACAGTCTTTATCAATAAGGTTTGCTGTTTATGATTGGTCTGCATTGCAGTAAAAATTTGGAAGCACATCTGTTATTCACTTCTCCGGGTTCTGTTTTTTTTTCTTTTCTTTTCTTTTGCAGGCATCAAAGGCATCCGTTACTGGTGTTCCCTCTCCGCATGGAGCTATCGAGGCCCTGTCTCTTATACACATCTAGATGTGTATAAGAGACAGCAGTTAGTTACCGTTTGCCTCAGTTACAGCTTACCTCAGTTACTGTTTGCCTTAGCATTTGCCTCAGCCACCTTTTGCCTCAGTTACCTCTCCTTGGGTCTTTTGCTTATTGGGTCTCAAGCCTCATTTGAACTTTCTTGGGCCTCAGTTAGTTGGTGGCGGCCATTGTCGGATCGTCCTTGATATGTGTTTGCAACTTTGCATTGCAAAATACAGTCTTTATCAATAAGGTTTGCTGTTTATGATTGGTCTGCATTGCAGTAAAAATTTGGAAGCACATCTGTTATTCACTTCTCCGGGTTCTGTTTTTTTTTCTTTTCTTTTCTTTTGCAGGCATCAAAGGCATCCGTTACTGGTGTTCCCTCTCCGCATGGAGCTATCGAGGCCCTGCAAGTCATGGTGTCACGGATGGAAGCCACGGAACGAGAACTTGCTGACCAGAAATTCAAGGTGTGTATGGTTTAGATGTATGTACTGTGATAGCGAACTGCACTGTGAGCTGTAGGCAGAAAGGGAGAAAAGGACAAGAAATGAGGGGCTGTGGCAGGCAGAAAGAGAGAAAAGCACGAGAAATGGACTGTCCTTCCTGAGGCTCCAGAGCTGCCATCGCCTCTGAACAGTGTGAAGTCAATTGCAGGGCCGACGATGAGGCCAATCGAAGGGTCATTCAACCAAAGGGTCAATTATAATACATTCAACTGTAGGGCTGATCATTGAGTCAATTGAAGCTCCAACGATCATTGGGTTAATCGCTGGGGTCAATTCATCCAGTAAGGGTCAATTGCAGGGGTCAATCTTAGGTCAATCGCTGGGGTCAATTTCAGGTCAAGTCATGCAGTGAGGGTCAATTGCAGTGGTCATTTGCTGGGGCCAATTTCAGGTCAATTCGTGCAGTAAGGGTCAATTGCAGGGGTCAATCTTTTTTTTTTTTTTTTTTTTTTTTTTTTGAGATGATGCYCCAATCTATTCATGGGGACCAACACGGCTGGGAACCGGGCCCAGCGTCCCTTATCAGAAAGTGTCAAAAAGCCTCCCAACCACGAATCAGATAGGTGAAACCTATTCAATCCACCTACGACCACCACCAGCATGGCTGTTTTCAGCACGAACCCAAGCTCTTCCAGGCGTCATGCTCCCATCAGGTTAGGTTACAGAGTTGCCTTGCTCCAGCACCGGCCAGCATTGCTCCAGTTACGAACCCCGATGATCACTGAGACTGCCCCCGCAAACAGCTCCCCAGATCTCTTTACCAGGCCTCACGCCCCCACTAATCTAGGTCACAGAGTTGCGCCACCTGGCTCCGGCTCCGGCGAGCGTTGCTCCAGCATCGGTCTCCGAGGGCCATGGAATTTTTGAACCACCCTTCGCAGGATCACCGATGACTTGCCAGATAGCACCTATTCCTACAACCTCCTCGAGAGGCAAACCAAATGGAAAGAAATACTAAACTGGATGTTAGAATTCTTCGAGCGAGATCGCCCCTCCCTCCCCCTACCCCTCCCCCCTCAGCCCTACACTGCCTCCGCCGAGGCGAGTCACCCACACTCCCTCGGCCCCAATATAAGACCAACCCTCTACCCCCTTTTCCCCAGGAGCATGCAGTTCCCACCTAAAGCATGCCCCCCCGCCCCTTCCCCATTTCTGCCTCCGCTGGGACTGACGTTGACCCACACACCAGCCCCTGCCCCAGAAATAGGACAACCCCCTACTCCGCCCCTACCCTCTTTGAGACATTCACCCCCCACCTTGTGATGCCCCTGCAAGATAGAGCTCCCCCCACCCCCGTCTTACCGTTCAGCCCTCCGGAAAGGATCTGATCCAGCCGACTACAGTTATTGATGACACACTTACAAGAATGTTGATCGCAATTTGGAAAAGCAGGGCCTCTTCAAAAATATGCAATAACCCCCGAAAACATCCTACATCTTTAGGAGCAACCCACTGAAGAAAGCGCAGGGCGGGTGTAAGACTATTACAATTATTCCCCTGCCCCTGGTGCCAGAAGCAAAAAACTAATTATCGGAGAGGGTCTTCAAAATTTATAGCTATGAGAGTAGAATTCCGAAGTTTTCGGGTTCCAAGATTAGAAAATCATGATAGAACTTTACTTGGGACTTTCAGAAATTACAGTTGAAATTCAAGGATATGTAATTACTAATTATAGAACAGATCCCTACAAATTGTGCTGGCGATTCAGAATGGATAATATATGTTTGTGTGTATGTGTGTACATTTAGATGAGAATACTTTACTTGGGACTTTTAGAAATTATAGTCGAATTTCACGGATATGTGTGTGTGTGTGTGTACATGTAGATGAGAATTTGGCTGATCAGATTGTGAGTTTATTTTTCCAAATTTGAGAAGCTGAATTTATAACTGTGTAAGCACTAGATTAGAGCAAGAATATAGGAAATTCAATCGGCAGGGTCAATTTCAGGTCAATTCATGCAGTTAGGGTCAATTGCAGTGGTTAATTCCTGGGGTATCATTCAGGTCAACTCATTCTGTTAAGGTTAATTGCAGGGGTCAACCGTTGGGGTCAGTTTCAGGTCTTTTCCTGCAGTTAGGGTCAATTCCAGAGGTGAATTTAAGGTCAATTGCTGGGGGTCAGTTTCATGTCAATTCGCTCTGGAGTTTCGAGCCTTGGTAACGGACAACGTGTTACCCGGTGAGTTTGGCTTTTTCCCACTCTTGTTGTGTCCTCTCCTGTCCTTGTGCTGTTTCCCCAATCCCTGCCAACCCAGCTACACAGCGCTTCTCATTGTGTTTCCCTTTCCCCCGTACGTCCACCTAATGCACTCTTTTTCTGCTACTGATGCTTGTTTCTGATTGGTGTGGGGTCTGGCATGCTTAATTACAGGAGAAAATGAGCATTGAAAAACGACGACTTGGCGAATTAAGGAGCATTTCCACACCCCAAAGGTCTATGCCATTGCAGTTCACCTCACCGATTTCCTGCGCAGGAACCCCATCCAAGTGACGACATCCAGAGGAAAAACCGCCGTCAGACAAAAACGCCATCGAGGACAATGCTGGAGGAAAGGAGAAAATCCTGCTTCCTTCTCTTTCCTACCTTCTACCCCTGCGATGATTTCTGCAGTTTGCTGTCTGTGAGATATCCTCCTCCCTTAGAAGCTCAGTCTCCAGATTGCGTAAAGAGTATAGGGCATAACTGCTGTTGTGAAGAGGAGCTATTCATCGATGACCATTGATGCAAGATGAGGAGTGGTCGGGATTCTCGAGTTATGTATCCTGAAGGAGATTGTAGTATTGTTAAGTTTTAACTGAAACTTTCACCTTGGGAGGGAGAGAGCAAGCGAGCGAGCGAGAGAGAGAGAGAGAGAGAGAGAGAGAGAGAGAGAGAGAGAGAGAGAGAGAGAGAGAGAGAGAGAGAGAGAGAGAGAGAGAGAGAGAGAGAGAGNGAGAGAGAGAGAGAGAGAGAGAGAGAGAGAGAGAGAGAGAGAGAGAGAGAGAGAGAGAGAGAGAGAGAGAGAGAGAGAGAGAGAGAGAGAGAGAGATCCTCTTTGTTTGTTGCTTGCAGCTGAGCAGTGTACATCGTGAGCGCGACCGCCCCATGTACATAAGGAAGGCATGGACTGACAGATTGAACTTATTTCAATTGTGTATGCCTGCTATGCTAGCATGCTCGTCTTTTTCTCAATCAATGGTAAATTCTTTATTCCGAAACATTGTTTGTGAGTTTGTTGCATTGATATCTGTCAATGCATTGCTCTCGTCTTTCGTCAGTGTTTCCACTGCTACAAGGTTTCCAATTCTTTACGGAAAAGAAATCCTTTGTGAAGTCAGGCATGCAGTGACATGAGTGGCAAGGACTCAGGTTGGTCCCTTTAGGGCTCAGTCTGCGGGAGCCCAAATGAATATGTGATGGGGTGATGCTGGTGAACAATCAATGCAGCAGTTTTCATGGAGAGTTTGATTTTTGTTTTTAATAATGGTTACGATTCTGGCTATTCGAAGTGCAAATACACAAGGAAAGACTGTGCTGTTCAATTGCAAAAGAAATGAAAGAACTTGGAGAAAGAGACAAAGGGAGAAGAAGAAATAGGAAAGAAATACGAAAGAAATAATAATAAGAAGTACACCAGCGAAAGACCAATGACAAATCCCCCTTCTCTCGCCAATCACTCTCCTCCTCCGTATCTCCCACAATCAGGGTAGCCGGCGTTCAGGTCCGGCCGAACGGTCAAACATCCGGTCCCCTTGGGGAGGCGTTTGGCTGAACCCGAACGGCGAACGCCAAAAAAAAACAAAAACAAAAGAAGCACAAAAAAAAAATGGAAAACAACTGCAAGACATAAGGCCCCGACGAGCCCCTTTTTGGCCCTGTAAGCAGCACTGTCCGGCCGCCCTAAGTGAAGGCGGCCTCGACCAAGGCCAAGGGGCCTATTTTTCGGCCACCATGCAACTGGGGAAATTCAGGCAGTTGCACAGCGCCAGTTGGTTGAGAGCGCCCAGGCCCTGGCTGCCTTTTTCGTACATAACCGAGGTAGGCCCTGGGCCAGATACACCATATGGGCCGAACACAGGCTGCGGGCAGTCGGGCACAGGCAACCGTCACAGGCCCTGGGCCTGATTCGTTTGGACCGGGGCTCAGTCTCTCGGGGCCTACCGGAAGCTTCTGGGCAGGGGCCCAGCGCAGCCAGGCCACTTCCATTTAGGAAAGTGCCTGCCCTCGCATTTGGCATTCGGGCACTGGCTGCATGCTGCGCAAGCGCTGTTGCGCTAATCGCTGGCCAGGCCCACACGCCCACGGGGGAGCTGGATGAGCAGGCAGCCATAGCCGAGCTGCGCTGTACTATGCGGGATGGGGCGCATGGTGGTCCTTGGGTGCACGTGGCATCTGTGAGTGGGGGATCAAGGTTGTGAGTGATTCGAGAGACATACCTGGTGCTTGAGGCGAACGGCCGAGATCTGCTCATACTCCGGGAAGCTGTTGACGTCACCAGCGGCATTGTTGATAGGCTAGATAGGATCTGCCATTTGTAGTCTGGGCGCAGAGCGCCAGATAGGAAGTCGACATTGGTTCTTTGTTGATGATGATGAGACTATTCCAACATTGTCACATATGAGCTTTTGCTGTGCTCTTATTTGGTGGAACTCGTGTTGCAATTCTGCTTTTGGTTCGAGGTCACGACTATCTGGTTACATGTGTATGATGCTGCTTGGTTTCTGGAATTCGCTATCGCTCATTTTCCTTGCACAACTATGTTATGGAGCAAAATAAACTGAACAACTTTTGCCTCGGGGTGACATCCAAATTCTTTATCGAATTAAAAATAAGAAATAAAATAAAAATCATTAAAAAATAAAATTATATTTGTTTTATTAAATTTAAATTTATTTTTAATTTTTTTGGGACCGGTCGTGCAAAAGGTCCCGGGCTACTCTGGTAGCCTATAATTTTATTTTATTTAAAAGGCGTTTCCAGCATATAGCGAAGTGATTGAGCTCTCACGTTGCCATGAGAGGGACCCATCTTGAGCCCACACAATAAATCCAAGAGCTCCAATACTTATCATAGATAGGGCTCAGGAGTTGTGTTTTCCTGCTCTCCGAACCGCACGTGATAGTTCCTGTCATACAGGCTCACCACCACGAATCATTGTTTGATAATGTTCTCGATAAACTCGTAGGTTTATATAGGACCACGCCCGTCTCAGCACGTTGAAACTGTGGACCAACTTTTTTCGGGGTGCCAATTTTTTTCGGGGTGCCTCTTTTGAACTCAATGCTATATTTAAGCGCTAAGGTCAAAGCACAAGATTCCTTCATCAAGTGAACTATCGACCAGAATGATGAACGATTGTTCATGAAAGAATAGTAATTCAGGATGCTGAGTATTCTCCATATTTGCGGCGCATCGACGTGCGCTGCACCACGCACACGCGCCGCGCTGCGCACAGTGCACGACGCGCGCGCACGGGGTGCGGCGCACCCCGAAAATAAGGGGTCGAGAAAAGAAAAAAAAAAGGTTGGGGAGGGGTGTTTTAGACCGGAGTGGGATGTCGCGTCATAAACCACAAAAAAATATTAACAAAAATTTGAGGCCGCGCGGGGCCTCCAAAAAAAAAAAGGGGGGAAGTTCGTTTTTTTGTTTGTGTGTGTGTATGTTATGTTTTTATTGCGAGGCTCCTGTGACTACATCACAGCATGTTGCGTCATGACTCGCGCTTTCTATGAACAACACCCAGCCAGCATTGCACCACATCCGGGAGGCAGCCAAAAACAATGATAGTAAATGATACACTGCAGAACAAAGGCAGAAACTGTCCCATTGC